TAGGGTTTATAGTACTAAGGGTTTAAGGGGTTTAAGGGTTTAAACCCTTAGTACTATAAACCCTAACCCTAAGGGTTTAGTACTATGAACCCTAACTTGCGTTGCGCAGTACATCACTTCTCAATTTACTTAAAACCTGTGAATTGTGAAAAGCGCTCCATTTACTTAAACCCTGTTCGCGCGATTCCTGTAAAGAAACCTATCATCAGAGGGATACAGTTGCCCCTATCCTGTTTACAGCGCTTGCTGTGTGGTTATTCCCCACATCCCTATATGCCAGCCTATTCTTTTCCACATTCTTTGCGTTGCGCAGTACAAAACTGGCCTGCAAAAGAGCAGCTCTAGTATTGGCGGCGCAGATCTCACGATGAGTCGCGCTGACAAAGGCCACAGCTGGTCTCACAATCAGCATGCAATGGCATGCTGAGAGAGAAGCAGAAACGAAAAGCAATCCTTGTTCGACAATTCTATTCCACATGTTTCCATTGACGTGCTGGCCATAAGCCGATTGCAGGCGAGAAGTGAAATTCGTCAACTTGACCCTTCCGAACGGTGACAATCCTCGTGCCGATAGGGAACACCTTGTCGACCCACTTGTGTGCAGATTTCTGAACAATACCGTGCCAGAGCAGATATGTCTATTCAATGCTGAATCCTTGCCTTGTGAGAGATGTCCCTCATGTTCAACATGCCCTTCGGCTTGTCTGGACCATCAAGCGTCATGACCTCATGACTGTCTTGATTGCCTGCCTCTCATCAGCAGCACCAATGCGCCTAGAAACGAAAAAGTTCCAAGGAAAACGCGAGTCCCCTTGGGCAGCGTTTGAAGACGACCTGAGCACTCACAGAGAAGTTAACAAAGAACGTTTCGGCTGAATCTACAAATCGAGTCTCGACGAGCAACTGCATCGATCATCGTGCCAGCCTATGCAAAGCCAGCTGGTGCAAAACAATAACAACAACTAGTACCTGAAAGCGATAACATCAATAACAACAATCATAATAAGAATAACAATAACAAAATCAGCAACAATCGTAATACTCGCAGTAATGGGAACAATACTCGCAATAGTAATAATAGTACTAAGCACGGTAATAGTAATACACTGCATAATGGTTGTAACAGCAGCTCGACACTACAGCTTTCAGTGGAGAGTCTGAGAATTAAGAAGCCAGCACATCGCTTGAAGGAGCATTGCCATGAGCGGATGGCAGGAGAAAAAACGAGAGAAAACCAAAAGCCTGCTACATCGCGAGTGAACGACGCCCCACGGAAGCCTCATGCAAAGCACTATTAAACTGGGTCCGTGATACTTATAACCAGTGACATGCCATGGACACAGGAGGGACCATAAGGCCCTGGCATGTCAAGATATGATGCTCTTCCCGTTTACTCGGCAGGCTTCATGGGTCATCCATTATGTCTTTGAGCCAATGAAAAAGCGAGTGGCTGAAAGATGCTGAAAATCTTCCTCCCTTGCTGTATCGGGGCTTCTTGGACTTGGAAGAGCAACGCATGTAATGAATGAGCATGGCAAGTTCCGTGACAAAATTGCCCGAGCTGCTGATGTCAAGCATGAACCACATGGCTTCTTTCCCCCCATGCCAGAATGCAACTGCGAGCAACTGCGAGCAACTGCGCGAATGCAACTACGTGAACGTCTATGCGAGCTGCAAGAGAAGCCTGAATAATGGGCGTCTCGCTCGAAAGAGAAGGCGGGCCGAGCCGTAGGAATGGCAAACAATGGCGTAACAACAGTAACATTTGCCAAGTTGACCGTGTCAGCTATGCCGCCGCATTCATGCCACTTCTGTGTGAGCTGAAAAAGCTCGACGCGGGCCCCACCTCTTGAATTTAATCTCAATATGCACTCAGCGGACAGCAGCGCCACCGAAGGAAATAAACCCCGACCTGCAAGGCTGTAGATGTTGGTGCAACTGCAGCTGCCCCGGCCCTTTGCTTGACGAGGCCTGTAGATACTAAGCTTCCTGCCGTAGAGCTTCAGCTGCACATCTTGCAGGAAAAACTCTGGCTGGAAGTTGTGCCAGTGGTAGGTCCAGGTGAGTACGCCGACTGTACTCCCTGCTGTAGTCGTGGTTACGGCATGTTACAAGTACAGCAAAACAAGAATTTGCACTCAAAAGTGAGCATCAGGCTTCCAGAAGAGCACTGGCACAACCGTGCAGATGTGCTTCTGTGACCTTGAGCTTGCCCAGTTGGTCGGAAGCTTGGAAGCTTGGAAGTTTCGATTCGAGAAACCGCTCACGGATCCAATGGAAGAATTTTCCCCAAACAGTTTACCGTAAAGGTTCCTGTTTCTTTCTAAGAATTCCGACCTGGCCGGATGCTCCGGGTCCCTGGGTTGCATGTCTGCATGTGTCTCCTTTGTCTCCCTTCATGTGGGCGGCCCTCTTCTGCGTCCCCGGCTGCTTGTCCCTGCTTGTCTCCCTTTACGTGCGTGGCCTCAGCCGGGTCCCCACTCTGCTTGTCCCTGCTTGTCCCCTTTATCTCCCTTCATGTGGGTGGCCTCGGCCATGTCCCCGGACTGCTTGTCTCTGCTTGTGTTGCCTTGTATCCCTTCATGTAGGTGTCCTCGGCCAATGCCCCAGGCTGCTTGTATCTGCTTGTCTCCTTTTCCCCGGGCCGCTTGTCTCTGCTTTGCTTGTCTCCCTTTGTCTCCATTCATGTGGGTGGCCTCGGCAGGGTCTTGCAAGATTGTTGGTCACAAAGCTTCGAAATTAGCTCCAAGGCCTTGCAAGATTGTCGTCACAAAGCTTCGACACTAGCTTGACTAGCTCCAAGGCCTTGCAAGAATGTTGCTTTTTGCTCCGAAACTAAACAATCTTGCAAGGCCTTGCCGCAAGCTTCGCAGCTTTGACCAGATATCTTTGCAAGGCCTTGGAGCTGGTTCCGAAGCTTTGTGATCAACAGTCTTGCAAGGCCTTGGAGCTAGTGTCGAATCTTTGTGACTAACATGTTTGCAAGGCCTTGCAGCTAGTTAAGCTAGTTTCGAAGCTTTATGACAACAATCTTGCAAGGCCTTGGACCTAGTTTCGAAGCTTTGTAACCAACAATCTTGCAAGGCGGAGCTAATTTCGAAGCTTTGTGACCAGCAATCTTGCCAAGGCCTTGGGGCTAGTTAACTTAGTTTCGAAGCCTTGTGACCAACAAATCTTGTAAGGCCTTGGTGATAGTTTCCAAGCTTTGTGGCCAACAGTCCTGCAAGGTCTTGGAGCTAGTTAAGCTAGTTTCGAAGCTTTATGTCCAACAATCTCGCAAGGCCTTGGAGCTAGTTAAGCTGGTTTCGAACCTTTGTAGCCAACAATTTTGGAAGTCCTTGGAAACACAGTTTCGCAAGGCCTTGGAGCTTGTTTCGACGCTGTGTGACCAACAATCTTGCAAGGCCTTGGAGCTAGTTTCTCGAAGCTGTGTGACTCACAATCTTGCAAGGCCTTGGAGCTAGAAGCTTTGTGACCAACACTCTTGCAAGGCTTTGGCGCTAGCTAATCTAGTTTCGAAGATTTGTGCCAACAATCTCGCAAAGCCTTGGAGCTAGTTTCGATTCTTCGTGACCAACAATCTTGCAAGGCCTTGGAGCTAGTCAAAGCTCCAAAGCCCTGCAAGATTTTGTTGGTCACAGAGCTTCGAAACTAGTTCGAAAGCCTTGCAAAGATTGTTGGTCGCAACATCCACCCCAAGCATGGACGTTGTCCCAATATCCAACCCTCAAGCATGGACGCTGGCCCAGCATCCACTCCTCAAGTGTGGATATTGGTCGGCCCAGCACCCACCCCTCAAGCACAGATGTTGGCATAACATTCACCCCTTAAGCGTAGACGCGCGTGCCGATTGCGTGTGCGGGCTAAGGGCGCAGGATGTGAGCGCGCACGACAGGGCATGCCTCTCGTCACTTGATTCACGGATTGCTGTCGCATATACATCGGTGATGTAATGACCCAGACCGAACTTGGTCATGATTGCCCGCCTTCCAATGATTGATGGTGCCTAAGTCGTCATGGCCAGAACTGCAGCCCTCTTGATTTCACGGGGTTGCTGTCACGTATATGTGTGTGATATGCTGACCAAAGCCGGAATTGGCCTTACCTCCAACGAGTGGTGGTGCCTAAGTCGTTCTGGCCAGAGCGGCAACTCGCTTCATTTCACGAGGTTGCTATATGTTGCTATCACGTGTATGTCTGTGATCTGCTGGCCAAGATCGGAATATTGCTTGACTTCGAACTCCCCCACCTGCTAGCATGGGCGAACACATCTATTCCAAGCTATAGCCAGGAGTCCTTGTCATTCCCGTATATTTGATACCTTTGAAGTCTCGGGCTTCTTTGTTGCGGGTTAAAGCCAATATGCACTGTAGTCTGTGAACATGCCATTCCGCTCTTAACTGCTTGGGTCTTCGCTAGTGTAATTCGGAGGATTCTTCAGAGGCATCGTCGTTCTACCGAATCTCCGTCCAGAAACATGTACTAGTAGGAGACAAACATGGTCAAACCAAAAAAATCGCGAATCATGCAAGCCAAGATCTGTTCACATAAGGCAGCCGCCAGCAGTTTGAGCACTGATGTTGCCAGCACTGCGAGCAGCACTCTGTGCAGCACTGCGAGCCGCAGCGAGCTGCACTGCCGACAGAAACGGCAGCAGCAGAGGCAGCAGCAGCAGCAGTGTTGGTCGCACTGTTGGCGGCAGCCGGCCAGTGCAATGGCTTCAGTGCCTGACTCAAACCCAGGAACCTCCTAATGAAAGGTGACGCAAGCAAACGTCTCGCAACGTGAGCTCGCTGCTCCAGACTGGATTGATGTGGATCACAAGTTCGAGGGCCTTCCCGAACGATTGGGAATGCTGGGGATGCTGGGTCAAGTGTCTCAAAGAAACCGCGGGCCGTGCCTTAGCCCCCGCTTCTTCGCAGAAAGTCTGTCGGACATGCGGTGGTCTGAGGAGTAGCTGGACGCGGAAGTGGCTGTCCGGGTCAAAATTGCCTTTGCAACTTTACAGCTGATTCAATTGACAGTGACCTGCCGGAAGCGGTTTTACGGTTTACCAGCAAATCAGGTCTGACGCCCCCCTGAACTTCTCTGAATTGATCTGAAAATACAGGAAGGTGGCGATGCCTTTATCGTCGAGCCGACCAATGCAGGTGAAGCCGGAAAGCACGAAGTCGCGGCGCGTGACGCCGTCCTCCTTGGAATGCATTGAGGATGTGGTGCCGGCATTGACTCAACTTGCTGCTACCACATCGAGAGCATGCATTACCCTCCAGGTCCCCACGTCTTTAGCACACTCCAGTGTCCGCAGAACTACGGTGCCCTGCAAGCAAATATAAAGCCGTGACGTCAGCGACATGGTCAAAACTTGGCCTCACCGGCGTTCGATGGTGCAGGTTCTGGCCTAAAAAATGCGTGCACATTGGTTCTTTCTACCATCTCCAGGTAGCTCAGCACACCCATCACTAAGCCAAGTGCTCAGACAGCACAAGGGCGAAATGCCCATAGTGCCAATGATTTTTGCAGATGAGGATGTCCTTGCTGAGCACTTGCATCTCTGAGCTGTTGTTATTCTTGGCCCAGCAGTTCATAGAAAGGTCCTGTCTAAAACCGGTCGGGCGGACTTATTCAGGATCCTTGCAAACTTTTGGGGAGGTACTGGTTAGATCGATGCGCTTCGGGCGCCGTAAACTAGACAAATAGGACTTGAGACCCTTTGTCCCTGATATCTCAACCCTTTTTTTGTTCAGTGGCAAAGCCTTTTGATGCGTTTTGTCGATGAGAGGAGTGGCGGGGTCCGCTTTCCGGGGACACTCCTTGGGATCTTCAACTTATGCTGACATACGCTACGCTTTGGCAAATCGCCGCCGGCCATCTGCAGGAGGCCTTTCTGTCGTCCGCCCTGCTCTCAAATCTTTTGCGGGTCTTCGGGAAGGGGTGTTCGCGGTTGACGCGTCGCGCACGGGTTTGGTTGGATGGTCTTGTGCTGCAGCGTGTTGGTTCTGACACTGTGGTGTGCGTCTCGTCGTCACCCAGAAGCTCTCGCTCCGCGGATGCCTTCAGTGTTTTGGGGCCATGTTGCAGACCGTCGACACAACATGGATCTGCCATCAGCTACGAAGAACAAGAGGGCATCAAAAACGTGGACGGAGATTTGCATCAAGGATCACTGCAGGCTCAGCTCTGAACTTCATTGCCACAAGACATCTTGTCCCAAGGCAGCAGTATGTACAAACATCCACTTGAGTCTCATACCAGAACCTGTCCCCCTCAGTTTTGACAATGTCGTACTCTACCCCGGAGGTGTTGGGCTGCTGCACAGGCACTCTCACAGGTTTCCCTGCGACGGGCCTGGAAAAGTATATGGCGGCGGGTCCTGCTTAAAGGATCGGTTCTAGAAGTGGTCATGGCGATTAGGTTCACAGCGATTTCGGAAGACTCCAAAGCGAGAAGGTTGTAAACAACAACGGCCCCCAAGCTCCTAAGGCGCTACAGTAGCCAGCTTTCATGACTAAAGTGCAACTCCATTAGCCATTGCAGCCATTGCAATCCGAACCGATTTATCAATTGCTCGTCGACTACATTGAGAGGAGACAATGGGTGCCTTCCGCCTACGGTGCAACAGCTCATGCAACTCACGTAAGGCACGTGCCCCGAGACCGCAAGGCCGCAAGGAAGAACCGCAATGGGGCTTGTGTCTCCAAGCTCACGCACCTCAGACCATGTCATGCCAAAAGCAGTGGATCTGTCCACACGTATATCACGTAGCCTTCCGCCTTTCGCAGTATCTTGTCAGTTATTGCGCATAAAAACAGTATCCGCAATCCTGGCCACTGCTCCTAGCTGCTTTGACGCCTCAACTATGCTGACAATAATCGCAGATGCAGAGTTCCACTGGGTTTCATCTGTAAGTTGACTTGTTGCAGAATGCCTTGCATCTGTCAAACACGTGAGATCCTGGCTCCAGTTTCTTGGCCTGCGCCGCTGAGCTGACCCACAGCGAGAAAGCCTCGAACCTGTGGCGAGCTGCTAGGGTCTAGAATCGGAAGTGCCCGAAACATTTCTTGGGCTGCCGCTGTCTGTAGCATAGCCTCCAAACAACTACAGAAACATCCTCCCCCCTTTGCCTTAGCCTGCCTCCACCCTCTAGAAAACATCGTTGTCTGTGCCTCGAGCCACGTTGTCCCTCCATCCTCAGGGTCTTCGTCTCAGGGGGCAAGTGATGAAGGTGTTAGAGCCAGACTGGGAACCCGGATATTTTGGGAACCGTCTGGGGACGAGCGCTGCGAGCACAGTACGAGTACCATGGGCTCGGCCCGCCTGCACCCCCCCACCCCCTGCCTCCGCCCACTCATGCTTCTTCTTCTTCCTCTTCTTCTTTTTGTTCTACGGGACATGGGGGGCATCACCGCCCTCGTGCACTAGGCGCGCCCAGGCACACGTCCAGTCCAAGTGACACTTGTGGCCGAACTGGCCCGGAACGTGTCATGTGATGCATGTTTCCCCTTAAGCCCCCCCTATCTACCACGCTCACCAGTCTAGGTTGCATCGCCCCGTGTATTTCCGGCCTTCTTTCGTTACGCCGTGAGAGATTGGGACAACCTCCTACACGCAGCACTCGGCCGCAGTCCTCGATGCTGTACTGTGGGGACCGCGGACAGCCAATTGTTCCCCCTTATCATCCTAGTTATCCGCTGACTGCCTACCGCGGTTCTTGGCTGTTCACGTTCCCTCAGGGTTTCCTAGTGTGGCTTTACTAGCAGGCTTGCTGGACTCAAGTGCTTCTATTGCCCCTATCCAACCAAGTAATCATTCCAAAAACATGTTTTTTTTTGTTTCTCTCTCTCTCTCTGTCCGTCTCTGTCGATCTTCTTCTTCTGCTGGGCTTGAGGGACGAGCAAGATAACCCTGACCCCGGCGTTCTCTCTTCTTCTTCTTTGTTTTTCCTCTTCTTCTTCTTCCTTCTCTCTCTCTGGTCTCTGTGTTTGGTATACGAGGTGTCAACGAGAACAACATGCACGTGGGCTCGCGCGCGAGCAGCACAGTACTGCAGTATCCTGCACCCCAGGTCGCCTGGGGCGACATTTGCACGGCGCCGGAAGCATCCAAAGCCTGATTGAGCAGCACAGCACCCACCCAGCATGATGCTTTCAAGTCCTGCATGTTCCTAAGACCATCTTGCAATCCAGCTGCCTCCAGTTCTTCAAGCGACACCAAAGAGGCCGCAGCATTTCGTCCGCCGGAAAACCCTCTGGAGTCCATCGCTGATGCATGAGCGACCTCCATGGCAATGATAAATCTGCTTGCCGCTATACTGCAGAAGCAGCGCAAGGCTCAAGCCGAACTCCGCGAGCTTGATATGGTTAGCGGCAAGGCAAATGCTTCATGATGATGGCAAGGAGGAGGAGGAGGAGGAGGAGGAGGGGGAGGATGCAGGAGCATCATCGAGGAAGGGGGGTGCGCGACAACAACGATGACCAGGATGATGACTACAACGATGGCGATGAAACCAGTAAGGGTACTGAAGATGAAGAAACGATTTGTAGATTATTTGCAGTGAGGATGAATGCGTGATGACGGCGGTGATTATGGTGAGCGCTTGTGTGCGCGAAGCTGCATCCACCTCCCTGGTTCCACCCGCTTCCACCTCCAGAATGCCCCGTGGACTGGGGCCGAGAGAGGCACTGCAAAATCAAGGTTGAACACTGTTTTGGAAGGAAGTTGGCTTGTTCGCTTCCTGTGAAACACAGATGCCCAGCCTCGTGCACTTCCGTGACGTCCCGGACCTTAAGGTTAGGGCCGCAAGTTCTGCAGACGCTGACACACACAGTGAAACACGGCAAAAGGCGACGGTGGTTGCAAAGCCCACTGCGCAGCAGCAGGTGGTCGGCCACCACATGGAGGTTTGGACGGGCGATGCGGGCTGCCACGTACAAGGATAACGGCTTCGAGGCTATTCACAGCATGATGAGAACGAGCTTCACGAGTCACGAGACCAATGATGAGCCGGCAGCCTATTCTTTTTGATGCATGCGCGCTGGTGCCTTCTCTCAAGCGCG